AGCGAATTGTTCAGCCAATTCCGATTTTTTGACCTGCATACTCGTGCAGGCTGTTTTGTGTTCGGATAACCTTTTATGTATGGGTTTACAGGTTTCTCTCACATTAGCGCTATCTGATGAACACAAAATCTTGTAGCAGCCAGATCTGGAAAGCGGGTCGTAGTATTCTCGAAAAGAAGGCAAAACCGGGGACAGGGTAATTTTTTCTTTATTAATGGTTCTGATGCCCCATCACCTCAGTTATTCGCCTATCTTCTTCGACAGATTACACGATGACAGCATAAGGATTCTGATAAAGTTGTTTAACTTTTTATCTAGCCCCAAATATATATTTTCCTCCATTCTACTTGACAATATTTTAAAATAATTGTCAATCAGCCCTCGTGGATACTTATTCCTGACCAGAATTCTCATTAGTCTTCTAGAATCACAGCTCCAGAACACTCCCCTTACAGCTCCCAGTGAGACCAATTTACGCATCTCTTCCACTCCTCTCTTCAAGCGAAATCAAAAGGTACTACAACATCAATCTAGTAAGGGATTCTTCGAAACCCAGTGTTTCTACATAAAACATTCTGTGTCTGGCCTCATTCAGAAATTAGCTGATTTCTGGACTTTTGGTCAGTAATTTGAGCAATCCAAGGCCAACTTTGATGATGTTCAGTGAGATCCACATGTGAATACCCCCCTGTCGATATTTCACTAGAAAAGAAATTGCGGTTAGTTACCGTCAGTTATAGGAAGTATTTTAAAATGCATATTAAAATACGTTGGACATCCGTGAATTTTAGATTTAAGTCCTATTAACTAATGTATGTTTTTTCACTACTGTTATGTCATCTACCGCTTATATTCTTGAAAAAGGGTGAATACAGTGCTCATTATAAATCTACTGGTAGTACTGGTAGCCTAATTAGAAACGAAATAATTAATGTAGTCGATTAATATAGCAAATAAAATTTTGCCTCATAGACAATCCCACCAATGAATGTAAAATGTCTGGCTTACTCTGGTTTGTGTTTCCCGCAAGGTCTCTGATGCATCCGAGGCTAGATGGAAACTGCAGTCCACTACCGCATTTTGGGAAGCAAGGATATGTAAAATTAAAGAAAAGCATGAGACTTATTCATATCAATTTGGGAAAATTTAACTACCAGTCCTGCATCACCTAAACGAAATAGGTTAAACACAGTTAATTATTATGTAGCTTTTAACTCTACATGACATTTTGCATAATTAAGGAACCTGTGTAATTAGTTCCAATTGTTCTAGCTTCGATGTGTTCTATTAACCGGAATCCACTGTATTTGCCAATTCTTTATACCATATATAATACATATTAGAAATATAATCAATATTAATAACAGTAATATTATTAATATATTATTATTATATTAATAATATTGATTTCTATTTTTTACTATACAGCTATTTTTAATAAAATCTAATTATTCCAAGTTTCTCTATGTTTATTACTTCCATTCAGAGGGACAACCTTGTTGCGTAAACGCGAGGTGCTCGAAAGCGCTGAATTCCCTGTCGGCTGGATTGGCTACTCGCTTGGTATGTTTCCCCTCGAAGAAAACCTTTGTTTTCCACAAAGGCCGATTTGCCCCCCAAAAGCCCCAGACGGAGAGTGTGCGCCGACGCAACGCCAGAGAACGCTTTCGTGTGCGTGGTATCAACGCCAGTTTCGACAGTCTACGGGCTTGTCTGCCTATCGGAGCAGTATCCCTGATTGACAAATCCTCTAGGCACCAAAGGACGTACTCGCGTCGTCGAGTCGATCCAGTGCTGAATGGAGACTACTTGCAGGCGTATGAGCATAAAGTAGGCCTCCGACCTATTTGGCATCTACAATAACATAACTTATTTATATAAAACAGATTTCAAAAATATCATTAAATCTTAAATAAGTCTTCCAGTCACTCTGAGTCACATATCATTTGAGCAGGTCCTATGATCACATTGAGTTTTACTTAGCCCTGCTTCACAAAAGGTATTCTCACCAACTCTAAACTGACTGCTGTTTCTACCTTGTTTCGGTGTCATCAAGACGAAGTTAAATTATTTGAGGTAAAGACTTTCATTTCGTATGGAAGTAAATGATTAAGAGACTTATAGGTCAATCTTACCGGAAAACGTCGGTTGATTTGCGTTGTAATGAAGCCATTTAGCGTTAATACTAAATTCAGGTTGATGCAGTCCACGAAACATCTTCCAACGTTTCGGGCGAAGACGAACCGAGGTTTCATTCGTCTTCCAGACTTAGTGTTAACTTGAAGCTTTTGCGAGAATAATGTTTGCTTCATGACGAATGAAAACTCAGCCTGTCTTTGCAGTACAACGCGAATCAGCCGACATCTTCTGGTAAGATTGACCTACGAATCTCTTCATCAAGCACTCGCATCAATCTTATCTCAGGAGATTATTCGAAATTCGCATTTTATTCGCGTACGTCAAATTAAATGAAAATTTAGGGCCTAATCTTATGATACTTCATCACATTATGCGATTAAGACTAAATGGAAATCTTACTTGGAAAAGTTTTCTTGT